AGACATTTACTTTTTGGGAGGAGAACAATGACCAATCTTAAGAAAATAGTGAAGAGTAGAGACATCACACTGGCAATGAAGATCCGCATAGTAAAAGCAATGGTATTCCCTGTAGTAACCTACAGGTGTGAGAGCTGGACCTTAGGGAAGGCTGAGCGAAGGAGGAGAGATGCTTTTGAACTGTGGTGCTGGAGGAAAGTTTTGAGAGTGCCTTGGACCACAAGAAGATCCAACCAGTCCATACTTCAGGAAATAAAGCCCGACTGCTCATTGGAGAGAAGGATACTAGAGGTAAATATGAAGTACTTTGGCCACATAATGAGAAAAAAGGAAAACTTAGAGAAGAGAATGATGCTGGGGGACATGGAAGGAAAAAGGAAGAGGGGCCGACCAAGGGCAAGATGGATGGATGGCTTCCTTTTAGTGACTGTATTGACCTTGAAGGAGCTGGGGGTGGCCATGGTTGACAGGGAAGCTCTGGCGTGGGCTGGTCCAGCAGTGGTCCTCAAACTAAGGCCCAAGGGCCAGATATGGCCCTCCAAGGTCATTTACCCAGCCCTCACTCAGTCAACCTAAGTCTGAAACGACTTGAAAGCACACAACAACAATAACAATCCTATCTCATCAGCCAAAAGCAGGCCCACACTTCCCATTGAAATACTAATAAGTTTATATTTGCTATAATTGTTCTTTATTTAATTATTGTATTGTTTTTAAGTGTTTTTGCACTACAAATAAGATATGTGTAGTGTGCATAGGAATTCGTTCTTGTTTTTCCTTCAAATTATAATCCAGCCCTCCAACAGTTTGAGAGACTGTTACCTGGCCCTCTGTTTAAAAAGTTTGAGGACCCCTGCTGTAGAGTAACTGAAATAATGAATGTGAATTGCAGAAATGCTAGTCCTTATTATGCAAAAGCATGACTAACCCCCATATGACTATTGTCCAGGGGTTTAGCTAAGGGGCAGGCATATAGCCGGGGTGGGGGGCTTCAGGGTGGTCTGCGAGAAGGCCTTACGGGTACATTATTAAACTGTTAGGTTTATTCATATCATGAATCTGATCACCATGCTCAATATATGCATGGGGGTATTGGGATAATGATAAAAGTTTGCTAGGGTAGATCCTGACCCCCCCCCCCCCCCTTGAATCAAAGTCACCCCCCCCCCCCCCCCGAATCTAACTCAGCATCCCCGAATCAAAATCCTGGCTACGGGCCTCTAAGAGGGATCCAATGTAATATAGTGGTTTGATCCTTTGACCATAACTCTAAAAACCAGAGTTTAAATCTCCACTATCCATGAAAACCCATTGGGTCTCATCTGTTGGCCTCACAAAACCCCACAATAGGTGTGTCTTAGGGGCAGGAGAGCAAGATATGAGCATTTTCATCCGGTAAAGAATCTGTCTCATCAAATAAAATTTTATTTCAGTTCCCACCCTCAATAACCAACATCACGGAAAGTGAGGCATTGAAAATCATTCATGTCTAGAATTCGTAGATTTGCTGTGTTTGCATTCCATTGGCAACCCTGTCGGTCCCTTCTCTTTGGATGCTTAAATTGTATTTCCAAATGTTCTACTGAAATTTTAAGTCACCGCTGTACTAGAAATTTGGATACTGAAGGAAAATCTATTTTGGGACAGCAAAATGAATCCTCATTTTTCCTTTTGTCCATAGTTATATCTGTAATATTGTCCCGCATATGAGATGCAAGAGACAGTTCTCATTACCTTCAGGGGCTGACACTTAACTGCTTTGTGGATTATAGCTGAGGACAGTTTGCTAACTTTTACCTGAAGGAATGCTTTTGCTTTGATGTGTTTTACTTCACCTGAAATTTACACAATAAGAGGTTTTCTTACCCTGAATGTGGACACAGGTCTGGCTAGGTCAGGGGTATGTTGACTACTTGCACCTGTCCAAGGGCTCTGATAGAGCCCTACCTGGGAGAGCCACCACCACTGGCTATCCCACTGGGGGTCGAAATACAGTGATTAGAGGTATGTTAATTTTTATTTATTGAATCGTGTCTACCAAAACTAATAATAATAATAATAATAATAATAATAATAATAATAATGTCCTAGACACTTGGGAAGTGTCCGGCGTGTGATCCAATACAACAGCCAGCAGAGTGTCTGCTGTGGACTCATCTTGTAGCATTTCAAATAATAATAATAATAATAATAATAATAATAATAATAATAATAATAATAATGGGTTGTTGTAGTTTTTCAGGCTATATGGCCATGTTCTAGAGGCATTTTCTCCTGACGTTTCGCCTGCATCTATGGCAAGCATCCTCAGAGGTAGTGAGGTCTGTTGGAAGTAGGAAAATGGGTTTATATATCTGTGGAATGGCCAGGGTGGGACAAAGGACTTTTGTCTGCTGGAGCTAGGTGTGAATGTTTCAACTGACCACCTTGATTAGCATTTAATGGCCTGGAGCAATCTTTCTTTGAGAGGTAATTTGATGTGCCTGATTGTTTACTCTCTGTTGTTTTGCTGTTGTAATTTTTGAGTTTTTTTAATACTGGTAGTCATAGCAGAGCACTTGATGAACCAACTTGGACACAGCATATTATTTCAGAACACAGAAATGCTGGAAAAGTCTCACAACCACCATGTCAGACTACACAGAGGATTGAAATCCACAAACATGTGGACAATTTCAACAGAAAGGAGGAAACCATGAAAATGAACAAAATCTGGCTCCCAGTATTAAAAAAAACTCTAAAATTACAACAGCAAAACAACAGAGAATAAACAATCAGGCACATCAAATCACCTCTCAAAGAAAGATTGCTCCAGGCACTTCCAAGCCATTAAATGCTAATCAAGGTGGTCAGTTGAAACATTCACACCTAGCTCCAGCAGACAAAAGTCCTTTGTCCCACCCTGGTCTTTCCACAGATATATAAACCCATTTTCCTACTTCCAACAGACCTCACTACCTCTGAGGATGCTTGCCATAGATGCAGGTGAAACGTCAGGAGAAAATGCCTCTAGAACATGGCCATATAGCCCGGAAAACCTACAACAACCCAGTGATTCTGGCCACGAAAGCCTTCGACAATACAATAATAATAATAATAATAATAATAATAATATTCTTTATTTATAGCCCACCACCAGCTCCCTGAAGGGAACTCGGGGCAGCTTACATGAGGCCAAGCCCAGAAGTGCATTACAATACAGTACCATAAAAAGCATAAAGCAAACATCACAATAAAATAAAATAAATCAAACGTAAAATATAATAAACAGTTGAAAGTAATACAATAGAAAATCAAACACAATCACAATGAGCGGGCCACATGTGCAAGATACAATGATAAAAACTAAGGATGAAATAAAAATAACCTATATATCTGTATGGGAGACTCATGAACAAAGAAGTAGAGACAGTCCTTCATGCGGGCAAGAGACAGCACAATATGAGGACACCCTTTATAGGGGAGCGTGACAAGAGAGATGTAAGATCACTCTCCAAAAGCGCAATGGAAAAGCCACGTTTTGAGGTTCTTCTTGAAAGTTTCTAAGGTGGGGGCTAGCCTAATCTCGCTGGGTGATGCGTTCCAGAGTCGGGAGGCCTATAACATTTGTTTTTTTAAAAGAGGGATGAAGTACAAAGAAATGACCTCTTGTTCCGTACAGAGAAGGTTTGAAATTCCGCTGAGAACTCCATTGTTATTTGGCTCCTTATGATTTCAATATTTTTGAGGTGGCTTATTTATTTATTTATTTATTTATCGTGTCATCAGCAACCATACCATTGTATTACATTTCTAACAGAACAAAACAAACAAACAGATAAAAAAAACCAGAAATTTTGCAAACTTGGTAGTTGATTAAATGTCCTTTGACCAGTATCTGGCCACTTGGAGTGCCTCTGGTGTTGCCGCAAGGAGGTCCTCCATTGTGCATGTGGCAGGGCTCAGGTTGCATTGCAGCAGGTGGTCTGTGGTTTGCTCTTCTCCACACTCGCATGTCGTGGATTCCACTTTGTAGCCCCATTTCTTGAAGGTTGGCTCTGCATCTCGTGGTGCCAGAGCGCAGTCTGTTCAGCGCCTTCCAAGTCGCCCAGTTTTCTGTGTGCCCAGAGGGGAGTCTCTCATCTGGTATCAGCCATTGATTGAGGTTCTGGGTTTGAGCCTGCCACTTTTGAACTCTTGCTTGCTGAGGTGTTCCAGCGAGTGTCTCTGTAGATCTAAGAAAACTATTTCTTGATTTAAGTCATTGACGTGCTGGGATGAGCTGGGGATGTCTCTGCCTTGGTCCTTTCACTATTGGCTGCTACTTCCCGGCGGATGTCAGGTGGTGCAATACCGCCTAAACAGTGTGATTTTTCCAGTGGTATAGGGCGCAGACACCCTGTGTGATAATGCGGCATGTCTCATTAAGAGCCACATCCACTTTTTTAGTGTGGTGAGATGTGTTCCACACTGGGCATGTGTACTCAGCAGCAGAGTAGCATAGCACAAGGGCAGATGTCTTCACTGTGTCTGGTTGTGATCCCCAGGTTGTGCCAGTCAGCTTTCGTATGATATTGTTTCTAGCGCCCACTTTTTGCTTGATGTTCAGGCAGTTTGAGGTGGCTGAGGAAGGGATTAATTCAGAAAAAAAATTCAAGGCCCCCACACCTCACAAAAATTTAAATCTTGTACTTAAACCTCCTACTAGTATCTGGAGCATATTCTATTAATTTAACAACAGCTTCTACAAACTTACAGGCATACAAAAAACAGAGAAATACCTAATGAGATATTTGATTTTGAAGTTCGGCATAACCACAAATTTATATGCACAGAACTGGGGGTGTGAGGTGGAAGTCATAGTTGTGCCTTATTGTAGGTGCGTGTCCAAGGTTTTGTTAACTGTAACCTAAAACTGTAAAACGTTAGCTGGGGAAACTGTTTTCCTCCCCCTGGCCTGCTGGTCCAATCAGAGAGTAGCCCTGCATCTCCCTCATTTCTGTCAACTATTTAGCAACTGAGCTCAGCTAAAGTTTCCAAAAAAGTTAGAATAACTTCCTCTCTCCAAGACCTCAATTTTTTGCACAGCCCGGTCCTTGAAATAAGATCCCTTCAAGAGACCTGGAAAACGTTTGCTCAGCAAAACCCTTTCTGTTTTTCCAAAGGCTGTGTCTCTGGAATTTAAAACACACTTTTAAAATACACAGAGAGACACCCACCATTTGAGGAGGGGGGAGAATTCCTTTTTGCCTCCCTCCCTCCCGCCCTCCCTTCCTTGCAGAAAGAATGGAAGAAAGTTCTAGTTCTCCTGTTTCTCCTGTGGGCAGCTTAGGGACCAGCGAAGAGGAGCTGGAGAGGCAGCCAAAGAGATTTGGGAGGAAGAGGAGATGCAGTAAGAAGTCCAGTGAAGATGGAAGCCCGACCCCAAGCAAAAGGGGAAAGAAGTCCAGCCCGGGAGCCCAGTCCTATGAGGAGCTCCAAAGCCAACGGATTCTGGCTAACGTCCGAGAGAGGCAGAGGACTCAATCTCTCAACGAAGCATTTGCTGCCTTAAGGAAAATCATCCCTACCCTACCTTCTGACAAACTCAGTAAAATCCAGACTCTCAAACTGGCTTCCAGGTACATAGACTTCCTCTACCAGGTGCTCCAGAGCGATGAGATGGACAGTAAGATGACCAGTTGCAGCTATGTGGCTCACGAGAGGCTCAGTTATGCCTTTTCGGTGTGGAGGATGGAAGGCGCTTGGTCCATGTCCACCTCACACTAGTCGGCGGTATCCGGGTGAAGACAGCGCAACTGCCAAATTGGTAGGTGGTGGGTTCTTATTACTTTGGGGGGGACGTGAAATGTATAAGTTTGCATTGTACAACAGGGCTTCCAAATAGGAGGAGGTTGGGGGTGTCAACTGATAAAGGTTGAATGTTGTAAGATCGAAATCTCACTTGGTAGTCCTTCCTAAAATTATACAGCTGTTGTGGGGTTAGATTCATAAAGAAGCCTTTCTTCCCTCTGTTGTCATACCAACAAAGACATCAGTTTTAATTTTTAGATCTCTTATTTTCAAACTTAGATCAATTTGAAAAATTCTATTACAAGCCTTCACTTCCCTCTGCGGTGGCGCAGTGGGTTAAACCACTAAAAAAGTAAAAACTTGGCCCTTTGAGCAAGCTTTTGGGAGTGCAGTGGAATCGATAACATGAAACTGATTGTGGCGCAGTGGGTTAAAGCACTGTGCCAGCAGGACTGAAGACCGACAGGTCGCAGGTTCGAATCCGGGGAGAGGCGGATGAGCTCCCTCTATTAGCTCCAGCTCCTCATGCGGGGACATGAGAGAAGCCTCCCACAAGGATGATAAAACATCAAAATCATCCGGGCGTCCCCTGGGCAACGTCCTTGCAGACGGCCAATTCTCTCACAACGGGACATGAGAGAAGCCTCCCACAAGGATGATAAAAACATCAAAATCATCTGGGTGTCCCCTGGGCAACGTCCTTGCAGATGGCCAATTCTCTCACACCAGAAGCAACTTGCAGTTTCTCAAGTCACTCCTGACACGACAAAAAAAAAAACTTCCCTCTTTTTCTCCTTTTTTTTTGTGTTTTCAGCCAAAACAGGAACCCAAAGCAAAGTTAAAGAAAATGGCTTTTAATTGTATTTATAGGGGAAATCCTCATGCTTCATGACATTAGAGTCTGCATCTTCTATGGGAGGATGGTATTATTGACTATACGCAGGGGCGGCTCAACCATTACGCAAAGTAAGCATTTGCAGTATAGTTGATTTTGCCCAGGGGCGCTCTTGAGGCGCTCTTGGGGGAAAATAGACCTTGATATATGCGAGTTGTAGTTACTGGGATGTATAGTTCACCTAAAATCAAAGAGCATTCTGAACTCCACCAATGATGGAATTGAACCAAATATGGCACACAGAACTCCCACGACGAACAGAAAATATATATCAGTGATTGGTTGGGGGGGGGGGTGCCAAAATACTGTTTGCTTACCGTTGAAAATTACCTAGGGCCGCCTCTGACTATACAAGATATAAATGTCTAGACACGCACACACACACACCCAGAATGCAGCTGTCAGCATGAAGATTTCATATCGCAAAGGGAATGGCAAAAAGGAGTTAACTTTGGAAGATCTGCATTTGTTGCAAAGGATTTGAAAAGGGAGAATAAGACAAGAGATACTGTACAAATGAAAAGCAAAGGATCGAAGGATAGCATGCATTTCGGAATCTGGAAATAGATGAAGGAAGCAGGCATTCTGTGTTTTTACAGTGTTGTCTTTTTGGGGCAAATGTGAGGGGCCAGCCCTTCCTCAAAAGCCAACTCCATGAATTTGTAGGTTAAACAGATGTCCAGTGTTTGTTTTGTTTGAGGGATGCCCCTCCCACATTGTATATGAAAGATAAACACAGATCCAGCTGTTTTGCCCTCTTCGGATCTGATTTGTTACCACTGAACGCAAAGCAATATCATTCATATGGATTCTACTCGAAACTTGGTGCCCTGTTTTGTTTTGTTTCTAAAAATCCATCACTGGACATGTCCCTTCTCTTCTTTCACTTTTCTTTGAACAAGATATTTTTTAAAATGAATTCATTTTTGGAATCAATTCCTTATTTAGCTGTAAATTGCCTAGAGCGTTCTCGGATGGAGGGCGATTAATAAGTAATTAAATATGATATGATATGATATGATGATTTGCATTTGGCCAGAAGAATGTCAGAACAACATAGCAGTTTTTCCTTTACAATGCAAATTATAGTACTATTTCATATGTATCAATGAAAACATGATGTATTTACTGTGTTAGGAACATTGATAGAAACACAGGGGGATGACAATAATATAGAATCATAGAATCATAGAATCAAAGAGTTGGAAGAGACCTCATGGGCCATCCAGTCCAACCCCCTGCCAAGAAGCAGGAATATTGCATTCAAATCACCCCTGACAGATGGCCATCCAGCCTCTGTTTAAAAGCTTCCAAAGAAGGAGCCTCCACCACACTCCGGGGCAGAGAGTTCCACTGCTGAATGGCTCTCACAGTCAGGAAGTTCTTCCTCATGTTCAGATGGAATCTCCTTTCTTGTAGTTTGAAGCCATTGTTTTGCGTCCTAGTCTCCAGGGAAGCAGAAAACAAGCTTGCTCCCTCCTCCCTGTGGCTTCCTCTCACATATTTATACATGGCTATCATATCTCCTCTCAGCCTTCTCTTCTTCAGGCTAAACATGCCCAGCTCCTTAAGCCGCTCTTCATAGGGCTTGTTCTCCAGACCCTTGATCATTTTAGTCCCTCCTCTGGACACATTCCAGCTTGTCAATATCTCTCTTGAATTGTGCAGGGGTCCTCAAACTATAATATAAGTGCAGGGGTCCTCAAACTATGGCCCAGGGTCCGGATGCGGCCCTCCAAGGTCATTTACCCGGCCCTCGTTCAGGGTCAACCTAATTCTGAAACGACTTGAAAGCACACAACATCAACAATCCTATCTCATCAGCCAAAAGCAAGCCCACACTTCCCATTGAAATACTAATAAGTTTATATTTGTTGAAATTGTTCTTAATTTTAATTATTGTATTGTTTTAAGTGTTTTTTGAACTACAAATAAGATATGTGCAGTGTGCATAGGAATTCATTCATGTTTTTTTTTCAAATTATAATCCGGCCCTCCAACAGTTTGAGAGACTGTGTCCTGGCCCTCTGTTTAAAAAGTTTGTGGACCCCTGATATAGTGCAAAATGAGGAAAATGTTATTACGATACACATGTGGATAGCTACACCATGTATATATTTTGCGATATGGACCGTGTTCCTTGTGGGGAAAGATGCTACTGGTTTAGAAGCAAAACTAAATTTTGGTGGTGGGTTGGGGGGGGGGGTGCAGTTGCAAATAAATGCATTTAGGCGTAAATTCTTTTAGCAACATTGTAAGGTTACAAAACAAGACCAAAACGCAATTTATAGTCTTTATAGACTATAAATTATTATAGACTATGGGAGAAAATATATAAAGATGCACAAGTTCCATTATTTCACTTCACTTCACTTTATTTCTTAATTAGTCGCTCTCCACCAAGGTGCTCCGAGCGACTTACAATCTAAAATAGCATTTACACAATATAAAAACATTCAGCATAAAAACATTCAACAGTGACTATTTGGAAAATTAGATCTGATTACATAAATGCTCCCCAAATTTCAGAAATGCTTAAATATTAATCCCTTGTTTTGATTTGTTAAAATTAATTTGTACTTGAAATATAGACACTGATGTAAATTGACATTATTAAAATAAATACTTGGTCTCACATTTGATAAAACTATGTGACAAAATTTGATTTTTTTTTCTGTTCCTGGTTTTAAATTGTTATTTCCTGTTTAAGTGTGTGGTACTTAATTTGAAAGTAGTTGTTCTATTCCAGAAAGTTTCTTTTTATGGCTACCTCAACCTACATTGAATTGGTTGAAACTCTATGACAGGGGTCCTCAAACTAAGGCCCGGGGGCCAGATGCGGCCCTCCAGGTCATTTATCCGGCCCTCGCTCAGGGTCAACCTAAGTCTGAAATGACTTGAAAGCACACAACAACAACAACAACAATCCTATCTCATCAGCCAAAAGCAGGCCCACACTTCCCATTGAAATACTAATAAGTTTATATTTGTTAAAATTGTTCTTCATTTTAATTATTGTATTGTTTTAAAGTGTTTTTGCACTACAAATAAGATATGTGCAGTGTGCATAGGAATTCATTCATGTTTTTTCAAATTATAATCCGGCCCTCCAACAGTTTGAGGGACTGTGACCTGGCCCTCTGTTTAAAAAGTTTGAGGACCCCAGGTCTAAAAACAATAGCAAAATGTCTCAGTTCTTGTGGGTTTTTTCGGGCTATATGGCCATGTTCTAGAGGCATTTCTCCTGACATTTCGCCTGCATCTATGGCAAGCATCCTCAGAGGTGAGCAAAATGTGCTGAAGGATGTCCTGCAAAAACAAAGTTTTTGCAATTTATTGTCCATGTTTTATGATAGAACCAATTAGGAAATTGCATATATAACCCAGGAACAGAAATCGTGTTACATAGTATAATCTACTTCATAGCATTCTGCATTAATAATGAATATCTTTATATTTTTGTGGTAGTATCAGATAAGACCGATGTATGTGTATGTGTGTGTATATATTTCCTATATATTCACGTTCAAGCTTCTCTTGTGCAAATATGACTTCTAAAGTTTAAAGAAAGAAAGAAAAGAAGCAAACGTCCTCTTTGTGGGAATCTTTTTCTGCCTTTGCCCAAAACAGATGTAAAATATCTCAGACACATACTTTGCCGAAAACCTTAGATTGCGTCTTTTTTTATTATTCACTCAGAGAAACAATAAATGCATCTTGTCTGCTTTTGTTTAACAAGCATTTGGCTATAGTCCAGTTGTTCCTTTACTCTGAGGAAGTCCCATTAAATTCAACTGAGCAAGTGAGTGGTAAGACTGCAGCCTTCATTTATTATCATCTCTATAGGAAGCCTTTAAAACTATACATTTAAAACCAGGATAGGATTGAGAGGCAGCCTGCAGTTTGTGATCTTCTGTAGTTCACAGACGTGAGAAAATGTTTCTCATGTGTGAGGATACTAAAAGTGATCATTGTAAAATACCTTTTGAATAAACTGAAATAATATTTGACACCTCTGTAAGTACTACACCATGCCTAAAGATAGAGCTGAAAGATAGGCTCAGTCCAATGTGAAACATACCTTTCCATATACAAATGTACTCAGGGGCGGTTCAACCCAT